TTGTAAGTAGATAAACAACCGCAGGCGCTGAATTGGTCACACGAGTAACAACAATAACAACACAAAATGGTGCATTTTTGCATCTTAGCAAAATCAGTGCCGCCAAGTTAATGTGTGCCTTGTTTTATATGGGAAAGCTGTACGCCGCCCTGGATTCACAGACCTTGAGTGCAGTGAAAATAGATTCTCGTCTTCTGCCTTAGGGCACCTAAACGTGTCTTTTCAGATTTGGTGATGGCTAGGTCTATGATCATTGAAGCGCTTCAAATTACATCAGGATGAAAAGGGAAAGGAGGTACATGAGAAATGGAAGAAAAAGAAAATGATATTCATTCTTCCCCCTTATCTACCCTTTACATCAGTGCGTGCAGATAGGGCTTAGAATAGGTAATGAGCTCAAGTCACACTCTGCCACTTCCTCTGTAGGTAAAGCCAAAAGTCACGTCTATCATCCATGGGGTGTGGCCTCTGTTAGAAAAGCAGTTTAATCCTTACACTACAAAAAGTTTTTTATATATTTATATATATATGGAATTAATCAAAAAGTGACATGTTAGTCTCTCTGTAATCTAACTTGTCCTGAGTTCAAGCCACGAGTTTGTGAAGAGGTCAATATATAATACAGATTTTTTTAAAACACCGGTCAATCACAGTCGCAAACTACGGAAGAGGATTAGGGCCACTGGAAGAAAATAAAACAATGTTTTCTCGAAATCTGAGATTAAAGTCAGAATTCTGACTTTTTTCCCCATATTAAACTCACATAAAATAAAAAATCGGTTAACTTTTTCTTTTTTTTTTCCAGTGTCCCTAATCCTTTTCCATAGGAAACATATGGTAGGACTTACAAAAAAAAAAAAAAAAAAAAGGCAGGTTGAAGAGAGGTCAGCAGGTCAAGTCTGTTTGAAAGGAATGGGGGCATTAGGTTTATACTGTCACAGCCATATGAACGCATCACAGGAAATCTAAGAGGCTATTAAATCGCTTGCTTTTATGGGTGTAATAATCCCTCTCCACTGCCAGGGAGTCCAGCCGAGCATCCAGATTAGGAGGGAGGGCTAACCAGGCGCATGCTGTCAGCTAATGCTGGGAAGCTCTCAGAGCCCAATGGGACTACAGACATCACTTCATGGTGCAGTTAAAGCAACTGTTTGCTCTGGAGCTTAACATGATGCGCAGTGACGTTTTCTAAGAGTTTTATCACATGTTTATGGTTGTGTTTGAAAAGAAAAAAATGTGATGACAGCACAGCCCTGGTGCAATGGTTTATCCTAAATCTGCAGTGATTTACTCAACAGAGATGGATAAACCTACCCCGTGCTATCTCTATTCATACACTTAGAAAAGGTTTTTTGAATATTTAGTTATTCTAATTTTTTTTTTACTTCTGTGGTTGTAATTTTTAGCTATCTAATTCTATTTTATGCATGAGTCTGAAAATTAATCTGTAAAAAGATTAATTGACAAAAGACTTTGTATTGAAAGCAATTTTTTTTTGGTAATTATTATTAATTGCAGACATTTGTTTGATAAAGCTCTCATAATAAAAGCCATTACTCTGCATTACATAACAGGGATTACATAAAGTGTTGTGTCCTTTTATGTTAATCAGAAGCTTCATACTTGGCACCGTTTTACATGCCGTTGCATAAATAGAGTTAAATTAATTGACTTAAATATTCAGAGACGGTTAATGGGACTCAAAACTAATTCTGAGATAAACTTTTAGTATTTAGAACAACAACTGATAAAAACAGCCTTGTGTTGAGGCAATAAAAGACATCTGACAGGAATCAAATTTGAGTAAAATTAGAGCTAAATGGAAGAGAGGAGTGAGACGTTTACAATAATGAGCTATTGCTTCCATTGTAACAGAGTATGAGAATATAGAGAGCCTTGCAGAGGTATTAAGTAATGTCTTCAGGATTGAAGGTGATAGATTAATGAATAGCACATGGTTTAACATTTTTTTACAAATAAAAATCAGAAAAGTTTTCTGTCTGTGTCCTGACTCAGTTCAATCCTTGCGAATTGATATAACTCAACATCTAAAGTCCAGCTGAAAGAGGAATATCTATGAACATCACTTTTTTTTATTTCTAGCTTCATATATTTAAATTGATTTTAGCCTTAACTTTAACTGTGTAAACTGCAAAAAACGATTTCCCCTTCATTTAAGCATGTACATGATTTGTAGAATTAGTATTTTTACTCTTAAAAGAAGATAATTAGATAATATGCGCATGAAATAAGGCAATGCAATTATTTTCACTTTTTTTAAATGTAAATTGTGTTGTTCCATTGGCAAAGTGTCTCACTTCTCTCCTCAAATCTTATTTTAAGAAATAAATATATATTTAGATTTAAATTTTTAGCAGTGTAATTCAATTTTTTTTTTTTTTTTTTTCAAATCTAAACCTATCTATTTTACCACAAAAAATATAGATTTTTTTTTTCCCAGCTGCACCCCAGTTCCAGGGTTTTCAGGTTGCTCTGAGTTTTGCTTCATCCCTCTTCCTATCTACTGTGATCACCTTCCCTGCTTCAGCAGAAGAGATTCATCCCCATAGCATAAGGCTGCCACCACCATGACTCAGAGTGGCGATGGCGGCTTCTTCATAATTTGCTTTTAATTATCACCAAACATAGCGGTCTGCAGGTGCGCAAAAATGAGGTTTGCTCCAAGCTCACCAGAGAACAGTTTTACAAGTGTAGTTTGTGCAAAACTGCAAAGTGGATATCAGATGCTTTACTGTTAGAATATTAAATGTAAGTGAATGCCCCACATTAACAGATGTTCATTTGTTAAAAATCAAAAAGCATTTATCTCTTCACTTCCATCCCTTTACTTTGCTGTAAAGTAGCAGACCCTGGTAAATTTGGTTAAGGATACTCTTGCAAATGATTTATATGAGCCTCTTTTATTTATTTATTTTTTTTTAAGACCTGCTCAGAAATAAATCAATTTAATAATGACTGCACAGCAGAAATCTCACATACAAACAGAAACGGGTAACCTTGAGGGTCTCAACTCAATAAGTAGCACAGCCCAAAATTCAGATGCAATCTCAAAGCCCAAAAGTTTAGCAGCTATTGAAAAAACGGTTCAAAGGAATGTACCCTGTTTACTATTGACATTGCAACAATTACCCAAGCATATGTGTGTGTAATTAGATAAGGCAGCCAGTTGTTCTCTAATGCGGCAAATCAAATTAACTAAAGATGCCACATTGATTTCTTTGTGTTGCCTAAATTATTCATCCTCACTTGCAGTGAAAACAGTCAGCGTGCCACCAAAGAGCTTTTCTAACTCCACTGCACCACTGCACCCTCACTGCCTGCACACAATGATTGTATTACCAGATATTCCCAAGTACTGTTTTTTTTCTTCTTTTTTAAAAAAAAGTCTGCTAATTTCCTAGAAGAAAAAGAGTTTACCATGTTTTGGTGACTACTATAATCCCATCAACGGGAGCAGCCCTGACCTCCATTACTGCTGTCGTATATATGCCAGAACGAGGGGGAGGAAAACGACACTGATGTAAGAATTCATGAGGCGCGCAGGCTGCAGACAACCTCATCTCAAGCTGCTCCATTGACATCCTGTTCCCTGGCATGTTGCGCTTAGGGAGATCAATATGACCTTACCTCCACCGCACGCTCCTTTGAAACTTAATTACTGATATTCAGCTACAAAGTCATCATAGTCTGGCTGTCAATATTCATTGGGGATCATTACGGCCCTAATAAAAGAGGTTATTTACGGGCTGCTCTGCTGACACCATCCCAGGTCCAGGAATCCAGCTCCAGCCATCTCAATTTGCTTTGCCTCTCCCTCTCTCCGTCTCCCAGAAGCACTGACCTGAAAAATAAAAATTGACAGCAGAGAAACTAACAGGAGAGAGGACACAGGGTGGATTCCTCTATCTTGTCTTTTAATTCTCTTAGCTGTGTTTGTAAGTTTTTCAACCTGCTCCAAAAAGAATAAAAAGTAACCATATCCCAAATTCCCTAACTAAATTTGAACTTTGTTTACCATCAACATTGCACTCAAACCCACTAAGGAATATTTCATAACATTTGAAGAAATGGCAGATTCTTGCTTTTCATTCCTCAAGCATTCATGTATTGTGTTTCACAAGGCCGCGCTCAGCTATGATTCACGCTTCTTCATAAAAAGTAATTTAGTTCACGACGAAAGCAATACACAGCGCTGCCGAGGTCCCTCTCCTGACATTGTATGCCAACAAAGAGCTGTGTGATTGTTGGAGATTGCTATATGTTAATTCATTCGATAAATCAATAGCTTCACTATAATTGAAGTCGTTTGCTGTTTGATGCAACATCTTTAAAAGTGAAAGGTGGAACAGTGAACCCTGTCGATCAAAAGATGAACTGCAACTTCCTCCAGAGCCATTCATGCACAAACGCACACATGCAAGATCATGACTGCACACTTCCCTTTATTGCTTTTATTAAAGTGGTCCACCTTACATCAGTGCACTGGATGCTAGTATCCACTGCCATGCCTTCCGTGAGCAATTAGCAGAGAAGCTCCACCAGCATTGGATTATCCACAACAAAATGCCTCCTGACGCGAGCCCTGAAGCCTGCTGACTTATTCATATGCATTTACTTTTAAAAGCCTCTGGCCCGCTTTTAAAGGCTAGGCTGCCTCAGAATTGAAATCAGATCAACATCTGGGAGGAAGGAGAGATGGGAGGTGAGACATGTAGGCATAATAGGTCTGCAAAGAGGTAGCTGAAAGGAGAGAGACAGGGGAGGGAGGGCTTCTGGATTAGATTTAAACTGCATTTAGCTTGAGATTAGAAAGTTCTCGCCTGGTTGCTAAACTTATTGCAGATTGCTGTGACACATGGTAGTCGTTATATAAATATATATATATATGTGCCAGTGTTGCTTTGACTGAATGTGACAGCATGATTATATCCGAGTCAAGTTTGATTTTACTTATTGCTTTTTCTCTTTCTCACCTCCAGAGACCCCAACAAACCAGTTCCCCAAGACACCAAATTCATCCACACCAAGGCTAACCGTTTTGAAGAGGTGGCCTGGTCCAAGTACAATCCCCAGGACCAGCTCTATCTGCATATAGGCCTGAAGCCACGTGTGCGCGACCACTACCGAGCCACCAAAGTGGCCTTCTGGAAACACTTAGTGCCCCACCTGTACAACATGAACGAATTTTTCCAATACACCTCTACAACCACCAAAGTGCCACCCCCAGAGACCACACAGAACAGCTTGTCCACCAAGAGACCCAACGGGAAAAACTGGCCCTTTAACACCAAACGCCCCCCCATATCGCCTGCCTACAACAGTGAGGATAAAGACTCTTGGAGTGATGATGAAGTGATTGACCCACCTGCGGTGGACAACCCCAGAGATTATTCCACGGAGCTCAGCGTCACCATCGCAGTGGGAGCCTCACTGTTGTTTCTCAATGTCCTGGCTTTCGCAGCCCTGTATTACCGCAAGGACAAGCGGCGGCAGGACTCTGGCCACGGGCAACCCAGCCCGCAGCGCCAGAACACCTCCAACGACATCGGTCACCATGCGCCAGAGGAGGAGATCATGTCCTTACAGATGAACCAGACCCACCATGAGTGCGAGGCAGGGAACAGCAACGAAGGGGCACTGCGTCTGGCCTCGTTACCTGACTACACCCTTACGCTGCGCCGATCCCCGGATGACATCCCCCTCATGACACCCAATACCATTACCATGATTCCCAACTCCCTGGTGGGCATGCCTAACCTCCACCCTTACAACACCTTCACAACTGGCTTCAACTCCACCGGCCTGCCGCACTCCCACTCTACCACCCGCGTATAGCTTTAAGGAGTATGGGACGGGGGCAGCTGGCGCAGGCGGGAGAGAAGGAAGTGGTGGCGGGTTGGCGGAGGAGGAGCGGGAAGATGAACAAATTGAAGAGAGGATTGTGTTTTATAAATATAACAAGCAGGGGGGAGGGCTGTGTTGGGGAGGGGCAGGGAAGGGCAAGAGTGGGATTAAAACATGCAGAGATTTAACAAGACTTTAACTATGAGGAGAGTTGCTGAGAGCTCTCTGTGGATGTCAAGTTGTGCAGAGCTGCCAAAATCAAACTGCTTTCCTTCTCCAGAAAGAGGGGGAGGTAGTCTTTCTGCAGTGTTTTTTTTTTTCTAAAATAATCATTTTAAAAGCCTTTTTAAGCAGACTGAGGATATATCAACACTTTTTTTTTGTTGAATTAAGAACAACAACAAAAAATTCAAAGAGAAGTGCTTTTTATTTCCCATTCCCTCCTCCTACGGGAGACATCTAGAAGGACGGCCTCCGCGTCAATATTTGCGAATATTTTTAATTGCTTCTTTGTTTTGTTTTTATGTTTCAATGCCTTACTGAGCTTTTTCTTTTCTGTCATTATTTCTACTCTCTGAGACAATTTAGAGTGTATTACAAAGCAGGACAAGACTCAGAAATAAGAGACTGAATCCAGGATGGGAATCTTGAGGATATGCAGATGTAGAGATTTTAAAACCCATTTTGGGCAACTCTTTTTTTGTTGTTGTTGTTATTTTGTTTACTTCTCTGGTGCATACCAACATAACAGCCACACAGAAAGCGTTATCTCTTTTTTTTTAAACTAGAAATGATTTGTGTGAGACTGTATTTGCCACGACAAGAGAAGGTGGAGATGAATACTACTTTACTGTGATTGTTTAATGAAAAAAGTGCATCTTTTACAGCCAATTTTATCTGTTGAATTATCTAATTTTATGGTCACTGGGTGTGCACGTGCACAAGCTGCTGTGTGGTGTGTTTGAAGTGCATGTGAAGATTATTTTGTATCTGCAGCTTGCAAGAGCGGTCATAAGGTTTGAGATAAAGAAAGAGAAACGATGTAAGAAACTAAGAAATGTAAGAGTTTGAGGGTGTGTGTTTGTGTATGCGTGTGTGTGAGTGAGTGTGTTCGTGCACCATTTTTGTTTTTCCTGTTCTTTTTTGTTTTGCATCTTACTGTAGGTGTGGGTGAGGGGGGAAGTGTAGGAAATGGGTACTTTCTCATGTGGCAGATTTTGGTTCAACACCAGTAGTGTTTTCTGCTGCGTCTCTGGGTGTCTGTCTTCGCCAAATAGCACTTTTGTTCTTTTGAAAGCTCTATATGTCTAATTTTTTTTTTTTTTTTGCTTAATGAATACAAAATAAGTATATTATTTTATGTCTTAAGAGAGAAAAAAATAGCTAAAGAATCTGAACTAACTGACATGATTCCATTGACTTTGTAAGAGTTCCTCTTCAACAGCAGACAGTGGCCTGTTTGCGCTGACTAAAACTACATCAGTGCACACTTGTATTTCTTTTAATATATATATAAATATGGGCATACATACATATATGTATAGGGCTTCTATGGAGATATCATTCCCATTTACAAAATGATTAAATCACTTTCCAGACTGAATTTCCCCAGCATAAAGACTTTCCATGTAGAGGTGTTGCTATTTGAAACATACCAAGCCCAAGAATATTCGAGGTGTCTTTGTAAGAGCTCTATATGTATATTTATGTATAAAATATTTAATATTTATTTATGTAAACCAGATGCATACATGCTGATTGTGCCATGTGCCAAATTAAAACTGTAAAAAATGGAGAACATAAAGTTTCACTAAACTTTTTCTTTTCCTGATCAAAGCTGCTTTCATTTTATGACTTATTATTTCCATTTTTAGTGATTTAAAGAATTATCCTCATAGCCAACTCCCACTCTACCCCCCTCCAGGACTTCCTCTTGTCTTCTTCCTTTCTGCTCCTCCCTTCCTCCTCTCCTCTTTTCTTTTGCTGAAACATTGAGAACAAAAAAGAAAAAAAGAGGCTAACAGCTTGGGGCCTATCTGCGTGCATGACTCCAGATTTTACTGTAATTCATGCAAAGTAGTGCTGCAGCAGTGGGAGATTGTAAAAAGATTGCCTTGATGCACTCACACGGCATCCTATTATATGTTAATCTCGTGGAGAAAACTAGAGTTATTGATTCTGCTAGCAAAACTGACAATTTTCATTTGCCGTCTCCCTGCAACCCCAATTCTCTAGGAATTGCAGTAATGTGACCCGACCAGCAATACTAGATCATCTTTGGAGATTTTGTACCATAGAACTCAACATACTTATGAAGTAGGTCATTACAGTTTCCCCTAGGTATTTGATGACTGGAAACGCAGCCAAGTAAGGGGTGCATGTCTGGTCAGCGCATCACTGATCACGTCGGCAAAAGAAAGAGAAAGAAAGAAAGACAGACAGACAGACAGACATTGGCAATATATATTTTTTTTTATGAAGCCCTCTTTTGTCAGATTATTTCCCTAAATCTCCATAAAGAAAAGAGTTTAATCATAGCAATCCTGCAAGACATTTAAACTACAAAGATCTTTGAAGTAAAATAAGCACTTTTCAACACATCACCATTCAACAATGTTTTTTTTTTTTTTTTTTTTTAACATATTGCAACCTCAACATATATTTACATTCTGGGTAAAGATGGTTTTAAAGAAGTGAAGTTAAAATAATTTTTTTATGCAGTGGCATGATGCCAAATTCTATTGTAGAATTAAAGAATCTATTGTAGAATAAGATATTTCTGGAAAACTTAGAGAAATCTAATGTCTAATATTTGTGCATTTGGGAAATTCATTATTATTTTTGTTTGATCACAGCAATTAGAAATGTTTAATCTGTAATCCAGGACTTACATCTTACCCGGGTGTTAATTCAGATGCAACAACGGCCGATTTATCTTAGCCGCTCTTTGGAATAGGAAAGACAAGACGCTGATGAAAATTTTCAGTCATCCAGGTCATAGTCATTCCGTAAAAGTTAAAAAAAATACACTTGGACTTGGTTTTCAAGATTTGAAGACGTTTCGCCACCTCTCCAGGAAGCTTTCTCAATTCAAATGTCTGGATCCGCAGTGAGTTTGAGTCTTATATAGACAAGGCCTTGTATTGCTTAGAAAGTGGGTCGTTTGGTTCCATTGTTAGCCTGTAATATCTGAAGCATGTCTATGATTCTGAAGGTCGTCGTTAAAGGGGGATTGTCGTTTAAGGGGGGGATTTTTTTTTACTTTTACGGAAAGACAAGACAATAATAATAATCCATTAATGCAAAAGCTGTACACTAAATTGTAGAAGTCAACAGAGTAGTAAGTAGAATTTTCTTAAAAACTGATATTGTTGAATTTTAACTAAGAGAAGATGTAAATGGAAGACTATCTAAAATCCGTACACGTACTTAGCTGTATATATAAAGAAAATTAACAATCCATTTGCTCTTTGAGAAGTACAACACTTTTTACATTTTCAGATCAGTGTTTGAAAATTTTTGGTTGGTTGATTACAGGTTTTGTTAAATTTCAGTTAACTTTTTTTTCTCTTGCAATTAAAAAAAAATTCAGGAATCAAATATCACCAGTTTTGGATTTTAAACCAAACATCACCGAGTATATTTCAGATAGTATTACCTTTAATTTTGTACTGACTTTTCCTTAACAGGTGGACAGAAACAAAGCTCCTAATATATGCTATGTTTCTATCAACGTGTTGTACGGATTTGTGAACCACTAACAAGCTGCCAAATATAATTCTAGTCATTACTGATTGATTATGTAATAGTTGTAGACAATCTGCTGATGAGAGTGACTAATTCTGAAAGCTCAGAAATTGCACAATCAGGGCACTGCGCATCGGGCCTCTTGTCAGCTTTTATTTACGTGCTCATTTCGATGAATGGCCGTTTTACAACAAAATAACAGAAAATAAAGCTGACTCTTTAGTTGTGGGACTGGATCAACTTTCCACTTACTAAAGCATATACAGAAACATCACCCTTCAAAAGTTTTCAAACTACTGTTTTGTCTTTGGTGCATTGATAGAGAGACATAAAGTGTTAGATAATGTTACATTATATGAAAAGGATTGCCATTTTTTTTTTTACAAGCAAAATCCATCCATCTTCTCCAGCTTATCCATCAGACTGTCCCCAACAGTCTAAGGGTGGAAGTGGGGTTAGATCCTGCACAGGTCCCCACTCCATCGCAGGGTAGAGACATAAAACCCAGCACTCACAGATTTACATCTAGGTGAATTAAGAGATGCCGATTCACCTAAATTCATGTTTTTGAATTGTGGTAGGAAGCCAGAGAACCCATGCATGCATAGGGGAGGACGTACAAGCTCCATGCAGACAAACCCTAGATCAGGAATCAAACCCAGGATCTTCTTGCTGCAAGGCATCAGTGCTACAAACTGCTCCATCATGCAGCCCCATCTAAGAAATTCGGCATGTATTTGTAGAAAGGCAAGTCAAGTCAAAACCTTTTTTAAACCACCTTTCTTTGTAATTGCAGCTAAGTCTTTTCCACAACAGCTCTGACGTTAATCCTTTCAAATGTATCTAGAACATTTCCACACTTCACCTTTCTAGTATTTTCACCAGTTTTAAAGTAGACTTTTTTTCTAAGACATACCTGCTGCTCCTTGTCCTTTTTTTTTTACTTACCTTTAAAAGTATAATATATATAACTAATGTTTAAACTAATTTAACTTTAGTTCTAGGATTAGGATTATGTTTTTTGTTTCCACATAATCTGAGCAGCTACATTCTCACAGCTGCAGAAAAGCACCTCTAGAGCATGTTACCCCAGTATTTAATTTCTGCTACATGCAAAAACATTCACTCTTGATTACTGTTTACTGCTTTGTTTTTACCTGCAAATTGTTTTGAAATTCCTGCTCTCATTTCCATCATGATTATTCACTACTTTGTGCCGTTCTAAAATATGAAATCTTAGTAAAATAACCAATTTTTAAGACTGTCGTTTAACAACATGTTTAAAAGGACTATGAATACTTTTTCCACACAGATTTAAAAAGAAGATATTAGAGTGACCTTTAAAATAAAATAAATAGAATAGAAGACTGCCTTGTTTTTGCCATGTTTCCCATCCGGTTTTAAAGAGGGGCAGATGGTGCAGAGTACTGGCAGGGTTACACACAGTGGCCTCTAGGGCAACATTTTGGATACATTTCCCTGAGAAGAAACACATAATTACAAACCAAATCACAGAGGAAACTACAGCAAAATAATGGCAAACTCGTCCCTAAATGAGACCTGAATGTTTGACTAAATCGGCCCAAACATGGGGTGACAGGAACCACCAGCAGGAGAAAACAACGAGCAGGACTCATTTCAGTAGAGTCAAAATTTGTTTGCAATCCAGTGAGTGTGCGTCCTCAAAGTGACATCATTCACCGACAACCTCAGAATACCCCGATGGGGATGGTGACTGCCTCAACTGCGCAGAAGACAAACGCATTCTGGGAAATGGATGTGCCAAATTACACAGTGACACCCGCTGGGAGAAAGCTGCAGGTGTGGCTGTGGGTTTCTCGGTGCGGGTATGTGTGAAGTTATTGAGAATTTTATTTTCACTCCACAGAGCGTGTTGTTAAGTATATTTCCTCTCACCTTTTCTCTCGCCCACCTTCATCACTCTCCTTCTGTGTCTCGTTCGGCTTAATTTTCTTTTTTTTATTTAAATCTCCCCTAAAGGAAATTAAGCCTGAGGAGCTCTGTTTCTGTCTGAGACAAAAAGGAGTTGGCAAAACCCTTAAATTTATTCATTCTTAGTTCCATTAATGTGAATTTCTTACTAATTTATTTTCATTATCAACTGTTGGTCTATTTCTCAGTGGACACAAAGGTTAATATACAAAAACAAAGAAAAATCTAATCACTGAAGGATAGCTTTCTTGTTTAATTCTTGCCTGCTAGTGAGAATATATATCTGAGTTCAACCTTAAAGCTAAACATAGTTCTCATTTAGGCATTAGTCAATAATACTTCTATTCATAGCTATGTTTTCAGCATATATATTGCATCAAGAGGAAATCAAGAGTCGGAAGCGAATCACCTGCGTTGGAGCCCAGTTTGTTTATAGAAAAACTCTGAAAGCAGCATGGATGAAGCCAAGGGGCAGGTAAACATTACAGATGATGAATCCGAATCTGAGATGCAAGAAATTTTCCCATTCTTGCCCTTTATTAGAGTTTGCGTTTATGTTGATTATGTTTAATAATTCTGTTTTTGAAATTTTGATTTTCACTGAATGCCCTATAAAAGGCTTACTTATTTTCTGTGCATAGAATAGTTTTTTTATATTTTTAAGTACACTTAAGTACACTTTACTTTGTAGAACCTAAAGAAACAGACTTTAATCAATAATTTTACTTTTACCACAGCTTTTTTATCTGTATTGTTGCTAAAGCCAAGAATGTGAGTAATATCTCTGTCTAAAAGTGTCATTTAAGCTCCAAAAATGTCTATAAAATGTGGAAATTTGCTAGAATGCATAAAGCCAAACTTTAAGACTTCTTTATTTGATTTAGTATTATAAACCAATTTTTTTTTTATTATTATTTTCTGCACATTTAATATAAATGTGCAGAAAATGCCATGACCTTTTAGTGGTTAAAAATAGAGACAATATAAGTATGATGAAATATTAATATATTTACACTGCACTGACAGACTGGAACAAGCTTTTCAATCTTGAGTGTTGTTAGACAATCGAGGTGCAGGATGTGCACTGACA